GGTTGAGAAACTGCAAATTTTTGGCTCCTGCATTGAAAATTCAGCAAATATGCTTTATAATTACACTAGCTTAACAAACATAGAGCGAAGCCTTTTATAAAACCAACAACATGTGCTTACATAATATGTTAAAGTATGCACATATATCACAATTTTAGTACTTAATGTTCATCTCTTATGCATGGAAAGCACTCTTAAGCTTTCCTCAAGAATCCTTCTATAAATTCTATAATTAAAACAATTTAACAGCTAATTAAGAATTCAAAAGTACAAACACCCAAAGAAATAATTCCTTTACATACCACACATGTGTGGCGTTAAGTGCTTTACTTTTATGGCATCTTAGGATTATGCGTTGGCAGTAGTTCTGTCTACTAAAAGTCTTAAGAACATGAAACTACCATTAACTGAAACCTTTTTCCAAAAATGCCAAATGTTCTGTTTTTAAGGAACAGCTGAGGTAGCAAAGAAAACATTTTGGGAATGGCAGCTCTAACAAAACCAGATTAAAGCACGAAAAATGATTTATTTGAAATCAGAAATGTATACTAAAGAGAAATAGGAAGGAAAAAATATTAAATTTGAAGAAATGAAATGAAAGGGAAATGTTTTCGGCTAATGATTGGTGTAATGGATGTGATGTAAGCGAAGAAACTTGAGAATATAAGCACATAAAATGTAGAAAAATCGATATATCATGATGTGTAAATGTGTTGTTTTGTTGCTGGTGCACATAAAAGGCCATTAAAGAATAAATTGAGAATAAGTGGGTCATTATGGAAAAATTATGCTGCACAAATTTTCTTTCACGAAAAACATTCTTGCTGGTTTTTCTTTTTCATCGTGATAAGCTAAAAAAAGCCAGCTAAACAAGAAACTTTTTATGGCCGGAAATGTCAAATAAGAGCTTGTTTAAAAAGGAATGCTTTATAGGAAGGTGTGTTCTTGCAGAAACCCAAAAATATTTCTATGGCCAATATAAATTTCATGCCAATATTCAATTTATGTTATGATCGCTTCCTCTTTTTATTTCATATTCAAGCTCTCCTGCTTTATGTTACACATAAACTTATCGATTTTATAAATTTTTTTTTTTTTGTCTCGAATGGTTTTTAATGCATTAAAAAGCAATTTCCTCATCCTTTGAAAAATTCATTCCTTTATACTAAGTTTGAAATCATGATGAGGTGTAATAAAAAGAATGAATAACCATCCGGAGACATTCAGACGAGCCAGAAAATTAAGTAGAAAAATGGGGGCAACGAATGGCAAAGAGAACAAAGTTTCACTAATTAGCACAATTTTTCTTCATTCTTATGTAATTTTCATTTAATCGCTTTCAACTTGAGAGTGCATCACTGGCTGAATTAAAAAGCACAGAAAAGTTTAATTGCAATTTTTTTCTTTCCTGAGAAAAAAATAAAGTTTTTTGTTCATGGTGACAGAGTTGTTGCTTGTTTAGTGATATTCTTCAACTTGAATCTATGATAAGCTTGAATTGACTGGGTTGAGTCCAGCTCACGACGAGCTCTGTAACTATCTTTAGCTCCATTAGTACCACCTGGTTTAGTCAGTACTTATGCTTGAGTTATGTGACGCAAATATGCGAGCTTTTTGAGTCATAAAATAATAGTCTGTAATGGAATTTTCTTTGGAATCTTGAAATTGCACTCCATTTCAACGATCTTTGTCCTTATTAAGCACAAAAAACCATACACATCACCCAAATTCTCTCCTATGTTTAATAGCAATTTGTTGATAAAAGCCTGAAAAACTTTTGACATTTCAAAATAATTCTTTTTAATTAACAGAAACGCTATTCCCTCATTCATTCGTCTCACATCAATAAAAAAAAAAATGTTAAACGACATTCATTTGTAGCGCACATTAACCACAGTTTGACATTTTTATAGCGAAAATTTCTTCCTATTTAGTTTAATTCAGATTTTCTTTCCGTAACCACGTTTGTACTGCTTTCGAGGATTTTATTTTTTTTTTATTTTATAAATTTTTAAAACGATGAAGAAAATTGAAAAGATAGAAGAAAATAATAATAATAAAATAGTTGAGTTGGGTAAGAGATGAAGAGGATGAAAAACAAATTATGGTTTTACAAATGAATGGGATAAAGCTCTTTTCAATCCTTGCTTGTATCGCTTCTTTCGTAATACATTTTAAAATCCAATTTCCATTTAAAAACACAAACATAAGCACAATTTATTTATAATTGATTAACATCAGTGCGATAGCAGTTGGACATAAAATTAATTAATAGTATGTAGGGGATAGACAACGTGTTATCATAAATAATACTAATTTACTGGGCACGTCTCACACAATTTAAAATTTTATCTTTTCATATAAAATCGGAATGAGTAGCGCATTTCCATTTCCTATGCCATCTTTCAAGTTCACAATTTTTTTTTCACAGACAAAAACGCGATGATTTTATTGTAAAGTCACGATAGAAGTGAAAATAAAAGTTGCATGCGGTGTAATAAAGATTGATTGTATGCATTTATTCATTTAAATAACTTGCGACTATAATAAATTGAATAATGATGCGATTCAGTATTGAATAAGTGGATCTGATATAATTTAAAACTTTCTTTTTATTGAGATTTTATGCAACAGAAGTGATTATTGAGTTTTGCATAAAAGGCTGGTGTACTTGTGAAGTTTTTAAAGTGCCCAGATTTTGTGGTTATCTGGGGAGAAAAGCTTAGAAAAATGAATTTTTTTACAGTTTCAACTTCAAGTTTCATTAAGTGCTTTTAAGTTATCCATTAGAACATTCCATAAGGATTTGCTGTAGATGAAAATTTTATGGACTTCCATCTGTAAACAAAATTGAAGGAAATAAAACTTTTATGAATTTATTTGAGAGTCATTCATTAATGATGTATGACTTTTAAAGTTGAAAGGTTTAGACTTTGTGTGACACTTTTAAATTAAATTAAATCTTGTGACAGAATGAGTGGAAAATTCTAGTTTTTAATGGACGTTTTTTATGAACGACCCCTTACCAGATTCAGAACTTTTCATATAAAATTATATAAATTTGAGTTTTTCAACTTAGATTTGGGTTGTAAATCATCTGTGAAGAGTTCTGGCACTGAAATAAAATTACAAATTATCAGAGGTCGAAGTTGGTGAAGTGAAGTCGTTTCACCTCACTTCACTTCACTAAAATTTCAATTGGTTTTAAGTCAGCTCGAGTGAACTCATTTTTTTCGTGTTCACTCGAGTCGACTTTTAACCGAGTTGATTTTTTCGTGTTCACTCGAGTCGACTTTTAACCGAGTTGATATTTTCGTGTTCACTTTAGTCGACTTGAAACCGACTTGATTTTTTCGTGTTCACTCGAGTCGACTTTTAACCGAGTTGATTTTTTCATGTTCACTTTAGTCGACTTGAAACCGACTTGAGTTCACTAAGGAAAAAAAAATGTAATATACCAAACTGATTTCTGCTAGTGCTTGTGAAGTATATGTGATTACATACAAAATTGCAGAATTTGTCCTTTTTTACTTCTCATAACCATATAGCAAACCAAACGAATTAATTTAAAATATTTTTCAAACTTCCAGTTTATTATAATTCAAGTTTTAAATTTTTTTCATTATTTATGTTTGTACGTTGAAGAAATTTAACTCTATAAATAAGAAAAAAGTGTTACAGATCTAAATTTATTTTATTATTCTTGAAGATTAAATTTAAATTTATTATGCAGCACAATTTTTGTATCCTTTTTCCAGAGATCAAACAAATAAATCTGAAATTAAAATATATTCACCAAAATTGGAAATATGGTGTGAATTAAAATAAAGTTCATTCATAATTGTAGCAGTTCGTAATAAATAATTTCAAAACAGAAAAATAATCTAAAGTGCAAAAAATTTATAAAATATATGAAATCTAAAAAATATTTTAAATTAATTCGTTTGGTTTGCTATATGGTTATGAAAAGTAAAAAAGGACAAATTCTGCAATTTTGTATGTAATCACATATACTTCACAAGCACTAGCAGAAATCAGTTTGTTATAATACATTTTTTTCCTTAGTGAACTCAAGTCGGTTTCAAGTCGACTAAAGTGAACATGAAAAAATCAACTCGGTTAAAAGTCGACTCGAGTGAACACGAAAAAATCAAGTCGGTTTCAAGTCGACTAAAGTGAACATGAAAAAATCAACTCGGTTAAAAGTCGACTCGAGTGAACACGAAAAAATCAACTCGGTTAAAAGTCGACTCGAGTGAACACGAAAAAATCAACTCGGTTAAAAGTCGACTCGAGTGAACACGAAAAAAATGAGTTCACTCGAGCTGACTTAAAACCGATTGAAATTTTAGTGAAGTGACTTTGCTTCATCGACTTCGACCTCTGCAAATTATTGCCAGTTTTCTTACAATTGAGAACCAGAAGCATTATCTAGCTAAAAGCAATCTCTTAACTAATCAAGTAACGAAATTCAACTCGACGATTCAAAAATTAATTAAATTAGTCTAACCCAGACAAACAAATTAAACATCAATAATGTATTAAATAAAGCTCAGTTATCAAATCGAAATCATAAATGTGATAAAAGTGAATTCAAGGAAGGTTTTGTATCAACATGAATTTTTATGATCCATAAAGGTTTAAATCTTAAATTTCACTTTTATTATTTATGAAGCCAAAATAAATATTACTATTTTCATTAAGTCACAATTAAATATAAAAATACTTTCTATAATCATCAGAAACATCAGTAGAATTATAAGTGACTGTTGACAATAAAAATTATATGGCATTTCATCATTGTGCGAATGTAAAAATTCAGTGAAAGCTATCACTTTTATTTTTGGCAAGCCACTATGGTGCCATTAGAGTAAATTACATGTGTTGACATGGCGTTAAAATATATTTTTCTGTACATTAATGACATACAATGAACTTTTAAACGTTCGCCTGTCATCAAGAGATTTACTTACTTAATTTTGTTTATTTTCTATTTGCAGTATTGCCGCCTACGACGAGCACATCAAAGGCAGCTAAATTAGAAGATATTTGTAGGCATACGATAGATGAAGGAGAATCATCGATGTCGTCATTAGCAACAAATATGTCTACATCTTCATCTTCATCTGCATCATCTACACAACCCTCTTCGAGAAGACTGATATCCGTGGATTTTTCATTGTTTAAGGTAAATTAAAGTTTATTTCCCTTTGAGAATTTATCTCCCATACTCATCTCATGCAAATGCGCAAAGATAATAAGAACTTCTAAAGAAAAATCGTCTTGATACATCAGTTTTATCTGATACCAGTAATAAGTTTACAATTCATAAAATCTTCCAAGTGAATAAAACGCATTTACAGCTAGAAATGTTTACATCTGGCAGTCAATTGACCAAAGATCTAACATAAATTTACTCGTCTGTAGGAAATATGACACTTTAATATTTCCAATGATAAAATTTTCCTTCTTCTATAATTTAGCACATTTTTGAGACAGTTTTTATGCTTATGGCACAACTGTGGATCTCTTTGCATGTTACTAAGTTACTTTTATTATATCATGAATAAAATAGTAAAGTTGAACGAAATATTGTTGTAGGAGATAGGAATATCTAAACGGTTGCCATCTTTATCTGTAAAACGGCAGCTTTATACCTACAGAAATATTATGTAGGTCAAGCGGGATTATTTCCATTGGGGGGCATTCATAAATGATGTTCAAATTCGGAATGAGATTTGATTCTGTGTGACAATTTCAAAAGAAAAACTTATTTCAGAAAGTGGAAAAGGGTCTATAAATTCCAGATTTAAAAGACGGCATATTTATAATTTTCTTTAATATCCATAAACAAATAAAATATCAATTTCTATGCTCATGCTTCAGCTGACACTAGTTCATATAATAATCTTATTTGTAAGTTTTCTATAGTTCCTACTCAAGCCATAATCGCGTCAAAGTGTAAATAGAAAAGAAATTAAGCATAAAAATTTACTTTTTCAACTTAATTTCCTTTATGGAAAATTTTTTTACGGTTTTTATTTGTTTACTTTTGGGACTAACCAGAGTTATGCTGCTGTGATAATTCAGCATAAATTGTTGCACCATCGCCATAATTATCATTTATCTGAATTTATTATTACACCAATGTGACGCCATAATTGCAAATTAATGGAATTACATGATGAATTAACGCTGCAGGAAATTCAATCCATCGTTGACAGTTAATAATGTCTGTGGCATGAAGCATTTAACACATTATACTCTCGGTAACTTTATATTTCACATTTAGGAAAAGTTTTTTTTACGTGTAAATTACACGTCTCGTTGCTGATTTTTGTCAATCTTATGAAATAGTAAAGAATTAACCTTGTCATGTGCCTTAAATGACTCGGGTATTATGTTGCTAAATGACTTTGATCTACTTTTTGAAATCATAAATGGAATGAACTTTTATGTATTGTTATGACAAATGTAGGAATATTTCTGTTCTCATTCTACTTATGCAACAAAAGACTCTGCTGAGTCAGTTGATCTATTGTCTTTTAGTTCTTCTTTTGTCAGCTATATGCTTTTTTAATTCTCAACACAATATCCTTTAATCTGACAATTTTCATACACTTGTGTATTAGTTCTTTTTATTCGCAAGAATGATTTGCATTGTTAATGTAATCAACGTGCAAAATGTCAAGGTTATTTTATACGACACAGTCAGTGTATTGAAACAGGAAAAACTAAGGTCGTTCTTTATCTTATTTTTATGCAATCATCTCTTTCTCACATCCTTTTTTCGTGTATTTTTAACCGTCTCTTTTTCCATAGAGAAACTTATGGATGTAGGAAGCAAGTTTAATAACGTAATAGAATGAATAAGTATGTAAAGAAGAACAGGGATTCCAAAAAAACCTTACAAAGTTGAAGGTGAAAGATTTACTTTTTAAAGTAATCGCAACGTAAACTTGGAATCATAAATAACACAAGCATAAAAATTCATTGTTACATTCTCAAATAACTTGTGCTAATATCTCCATTTTTAGTTTGTACGATGCTCAAATGTTTCTTTTCCTTTATCTGTACTTACAGTAAATATTCTATAGACACAGTGCGCTATATTCATTACAATAAGAAAAAAAGATTCTTCAGTAAATAAATTTTGATAATTTCCGTGCTTATTCCAGCAAGCCTGAACCTTTTTTGTGCTGCTTTTTCCAATTATCCTTTCCTTGAACTTGTTGTGCTTTTTTCGTACACATCGTATCTGTAACAATTTAAGGGTATAAGCACATAAAAATGTGAAGCTTTTCTACCAGAAAAGAATGAATCAATCTTAATGTTCGCATATTCCATGTGAATCTGAACATCCTTACGTAGGAATCGACAATATAGTAACTTACGTATATGTCGATTTCAAGCTAAGGATGCATAAAAGAGTTTAAATCCCAGTCGTGAAGATGTTTACGACTTTTAAAGGGTTTCAAATGCGTAGCATTGTAGGATGAGATGGTGTTTTTCAATAAATGTGTAAAAATTTCTGCATGAGAATCAAAAAGAGATTTGATAATTGACGTAAAAACATTCCTATGTTGTGTATACTGAAACATCGCGGTGTTTTTTTTTATACTTTCTGTTGGAAGTTGATTGAGTGGGATGCTGATCGTCATAAGAAGATAAAAAGGTTTCAAAACTACGAAAAATAAGTCCATTGGTGAAGATGGTATAGTCAACTAGCTGCAACTAGCTTTTAACTTTAATATCTCAACCATACCAATGCTCTAGAACTTGGGATGACATTTTTTAGCTGAACACAATTAATCATCTTAATGTATAGATTTTGAGATCCATAAAACCCCTGAAAGTGTGTCAATGATTTCAGTACAATAACAAATGACCGAAATTACTGCATATTCTGAGTCAATAGCATGATTGAAAGCAAAATTGTCCTAATTTAACATTATTTTGCTGCGCACATGAACGTGGGAGTAAATGTCGCATTATGTAGCCTAGAAAAAAAAGTCTTGTCTTCTTTATTAGATTTTAATTTGCATTATATTTATCTGACATTTACAGGATGATGAAACGCCCGAGTCAACAGACGCTAATATGAGTAGTACGAGCTTCCATCAATCATCTACGGCGGGAAAAGAAAATGAGAATAATCAGAATAACATTAACACAATTTTGAGACGAACAAGTGAGTACAATGGAAGATATTCAATTTATAATGATGAAAATTATGTTTTAAATCATAAGATATGAATGAGATTATGTCAACAAATTTCAATTACGGACAACATTTAATATTGAAAATTGTTTACGTTCACATTTTATGATTTATGTGACAAACAAAAACTTTATTTTTTATTATTTTATTATTTAAACTGTTTTTATTAATAACGAAAAACTTTGCAAATTTAGGTTCATTTCTGCAAGGCTTGTTCCTAAAGCGATCGAATACAACGCTGTACTAATTTATTGCCAAAAAAAATTTATTCTCCTTCTCTCTATCTTTATTGCCTTTCTTCCTTCTTGCCAATAATAATGCTATGCATTTTTTATGCTTGGATGTCACTAATTAAATTTATTGATAAAATGAAGGAAACAAAAAAATTACACATGATGAATATCATCGATTTTGTGATAAAGCTCTCGAAAGTAATTATAATTCAGATATTTTTACAGCATAACTTTTGTGTTTTTTTAGCATGGCATTTATGTGAATTTTTTTTTATCATTCTTTGTGCTGTATATTGATTTTTATCTCATTTTGTTTGCTTCCTTTTGTCCTAGAAACATAAATTTTATCGATCTTGCTTTGTTGGTTTTTTTTTTTTGCTTTAGAAACATCTCAAATTATTGTGTTGTGTGTTTTTGTCTCTTATTGCGCATTTATCATTGCTTGTAGTGCATATAATGGGATACTAGGGAGTGCTGATCGATATGGAAAGTTATTTTGTTCTAATAACGATTCAACTTCGATAAAGCTGAATATGACACAAAATTGTTATAAAATCGAGTCAAATTCTAATATATTTTTATAGAAAACTAAGCTTTTCAAATCTACGAACTTTCTGTAGCTTTTCTAACACTTTAACCTTTAAACTTTGATATTGGATTACTATAAATCTTATCCCAAATACCTAAAACTCTCGACAAATCTTCATTCAAACAGCTTAAAGTTGTCAATGACTTTTCAAACCACACTAATCGAAGTGCCAATCTTTAAAAATCATTGACACAATTTCTGTCTAAGAAATTTTATTTCAAAGGAATAAAAAAACTCGGAATGTAAGCTCTTATTAAGTTGAAAAGAATTTTAAGAGTGTATTATGCTCTTTACTTCTTATCATATCCTTGCTTCTTACTATAAGTGGTCTATTATTAGAATAAAGTTTTGTGTAGATTTAGATTAGAGACTTCTGAATGTTGACTACGAAAATATTTGTGATAAAATTTAGCTTTCAACTCTTGTCTGTTCCGAGCCATAAAAGCTTTAGAATACCTTTATCTTAGACAGATTTAGAGGACTGACCTTAAGTTTTATTGAAACTTCATTTAAAACCTTATTTCTTAATTCTATATTGTCTAAATTTTTGAGATTCTTATCCAGCACTTTATGCAAAATGCGCTTTACTTCACTGCATCTCATTACTTACTAACTTGCACTTACATCAACTGCACATTAATATAGAAATAGAAACTTAATTACGCCCAATGTACATTTCATTAACTTGTTTCCCTTGTTATTTCTTTCTTCTTTTCTTCATTTAAATCCAAAAAATAATGTAGCATATGACCTAGCAACACAATGTGAGTCGCGTCGTGCATCGTTACGTCGCCATACAATCGTTGGATGTCAAAGTTTTAAGAGCCTCAACGACAGTCATTCAGTTCCGCCAAGTCGACCACAATCACGACAATCAACAGATCACTCAAATTCAACGCAAACATCATTACCACCACCCGCGACATCATCAACTTTATCGATTACGAATTCAGTGGAAAATAGTTCCGTAAAGACAACAACAATGACACCGCAACAGCAGCAACAACAAGCATTGCAAAATAATTCAAATCTTAATTCGATGGATACATGGGGTAAGAATTCACTTGATGAACAAGAATGGAAAGAGAAACTGCAAAATGATCGGCTGTCACTAACACTCGAAGAAATTGTTCATATCCGTTCTGTGATCACGAAAGCTGAACTTGAGAGTTTACCGATGGGCATTCAAATCAAAGAAGATGTTGAGAAGCGTAAATTGTGTTTCCTATGTTTGCGTACAAAGTTTGGAATTCTGGGACCGAGAGGCGTTCCGTGCAAGCTATGTCAGCGAACTGTCTGTGCAAAGTGCTACACAAAAATGCGAATACCAACCGAGCATTTTAGTAATGTTCCAGTTCAATTACTTTCACCATCAAGACAAAATAGCCCGTCAATATCAAATGCTCCATCGCCAAGTCATCACAATGGAATAGATGAATCGTTTCCACGATCGCTTATGGAGAGATTATTGCGGACGGATGTTGATAGAAAAGTAAGAAGACTTAATTGAATGCAAATTTTTCACCTTACTTATACAAAACGTTTTTCTTTCTTTATTTTTACTATAGACTCGAAATACGGTCGGATCAGCACCATCATCACCAAAAAATCAACGTTCTACATCAAGTACGCCTGGGTCTAGTCAACAGAACTCATTAACGATAATAAATAATGGAGTTTCAACTCATTTAACAGCAACAACAGTTGTGGGTGCCAAAGATAATCAAAACTCGCTTAGAAACTCACTAATGTCGAGGAGTATGGAAGGACCGAGAAGTCTTCCTCCTCAGAGTCCTCGAAGCTTGCCGCAGTCAAATTGCAGTACGCTTGATAGGAGGTAAGCAACTATTGTAGCTTTTTGAATGTCCCTTTAATTAATTTTATATTTTATTTCTCATTCACAGGAGCACTCTCAAGAAGGCATTCACGCTAATGCAGAATCAACAATCAAATTATGACCAAAAAGAAGGACTACGTGGTGAATTGATGGCAGTTTGTAACGACTGTCGAGGACTTGTGTTAAACATAATTAGATACTCGCGTCAAACAAGATCATCTGCTAAGAATATGAAAATAAAAAGTTTGACATTAGATTTGAGTCCGGTGTACAAACGATAGAAAAGTCAACTAGTAGAAAGGATGTGCAGGCAGATGACAGAGAATTAAAGAATTTAAATGTGATGTCATAATAATTATTATTAAATTTATTTAACCAGCTAATTGTGAGATGAAGGATAAAGGTTTGATCTATACATATTTATTAACTACTATCAAATATAAAACCAACGGGCTCGATTCATTTGGCAAGAGTCCGACAATCGACTGAGCATTTCTCATATCCTAAAGTTTTAGTTTTTAATCTGTCATTTCGTTTTAAAATGAAAAATTAATTAATAATTTTTTGTATTCTCTGCTTTAAAAAAAGAGTCACACAATTAAGTGATGAACTAAAGAGATTGCAATAATACTACCTTGGAAATACCAAAATTATCTTGAAAATTCTTTCATATTTTGATGTTTTGAGTTCACAATAGAAAAAAAGTCTACTTTTGTGCTTCATTTTCAGATCAATAACCAAGACAATCTCTCGAGAAAATGGTTATTTTACTTCCGTGCACAATATCTAATAACACTTTGAGTCTCCACAAACTTTTTCTATACAGTACATGAAAATTGCTTTCAAACATCAATTATGAATTCTTTTTCATTCGATTTTTAAATTGTATAATACATAAATTTTATTGTAAACCAATCTACTACGAAACATAAAAAGTATAAGACACAATGAATGAACTTTTCTCTATGAAAAAAGAACATTGGAGAAAAGAAAAAAAAATAAAAAAATAAACAAATTCATGCTTTGAAAGCTTTTGAAAGATAAATGAAACAGTAGTAAGAGGATGAAAAGAAGACATGAAAATATTTTTATCAGACAAGCAAAAAAGATTGATAGAGTTGGGCATTGGATGGCTTTTTAAGAGCTGTAAAAGTCATGGTGACTGAATTTTGAGTTGGATGCCTTAACACACAAAGAGCACGCATTTCATGAGTATGCTCATGAGTATGCTCATGAGAAATCTCAGTCAGTTCATTAAAAAGAGCATGAATTTTGAGTAAGGAAGACAGATTCGATTATATTCATTACAAAACCTAAACTTTTTTGTACGTGAGACTAAGCCCTCAATCATTATTTATTAGAATCTTGAACTAGTTTTCTATATCTGAGGCAATCTGAGGATTACAGATCAGATTCCTTTAGCAATCCTTTTTGTAAATAAATAGGATCAATTTCCGTCAAGCTTATCATTTTTTTAATCCTTTAAGTCAAAATTCTAAGCAAGTTCCATTTGAAGAGCATTCAAAATAAATCCAACAACAGTTTTTATGACTTCAAATGTCACATTGACAATCAAAAAGGCACCATCAAGATTACATATAAACTTATATGACTTTATATTGATTTCCCTTTAGCTAGTCATAAAGTCCATTCCATAAACTTTCTTCATGACAAATCTGTTTTATGTATGTGATTTAGTCAGCACCCACGTATTTTCCGCAAGCAAATCATGCACACAAACATAAACTTAGCTTCATAATGAGGTAATCTGAAAAGATAGCTGCTATGACCTTTTATGCTTAAATATCTTGCTAATTAATATCTCTTGAGATATATAATTCTGATCCATATTAGTCAACCCACCTGACATTTTTATTTTCTTTAGATTCAGCCAACATGCCCAACTCTACAATTATGAATAAATATGATTGAATGTGAGACATGAAAATTTCCTTTTCAGCTCAGAAACGGCCTTTTAACAAAGAACATAACTTACTTACACAATTTATAGACTTCTATTTTTATCATCCAATATTTCAATTGTTATTTGAATAGGAAAGACATATTGAATGTTGATAATGTTGTTGAATGCGAATAGTTCTTTTTGTCTGTCTTTGTAGATTACGTTTGTTTAGCATTCCATAAATTTTAATGAAAAAATTTTAATTGAACCATCATAAAGCTATAATGAAAAAACATAAAATTCATAAATTATTGAACCGAGGAAAATTTTTTTGATTGTTTTGGCAACAAAATGCATAAAAAATCCTTAATGTGTTCATATATCATTTGCTTTATTCATGAAATTATAAGAATGTTTGTATGTTGGAGTAATTGAAATGTTGCAAAACAGCAAATTAAAAATTCAATTTGAACTATAGAGATAAAAGTTACTTTGCACATGGAATTTTTGTTTCATTAGAATTGTGTATATTTGGTTGATATGATGCAACATGACGTGATTCACATTTAGTATAGACAATTAATCGTTTTTTTTTTCAATAAATACCGTTACAAATTCAAATTTTTCCAAAAGTTTAATTTAAAATTCAAACAATGTGAAACTGTTAAGAATTAAATCGTCTGAAACCCGTTTAAAATTTAAAGCGTTTTAAAACCGTTGAACATTTAAATTTTTTTTTAAAAACAATTTCAAAATTTAAAATTACAGAAACCGTTCAAAAAATCCGATCAATGCTCAAAATATTCAAAAATCCTTCAAAATTTTTAAAAGTCATTAAGAATTCAAATTTTTGAAAGTCGTTAAAAATCAGGGACCAAAATGAATGAAAAAAATCTGTGATGAAAAACATCATTATTTTTGCTTTACGTGATGAAATCCTACGTAAAAATAATTCTTACGTGATGAAATTTTACGTAATAATTTACGTAGATGAAAAAAATCATAATTTTTTTCATCATCAAAAATAATGATGTTTTTCATCACAGATTTTTTTCATTCATTGGTCCCTGTTAAAAATTCAAATTCCTAAAAGGCATTAAAAGTTCATACAATCAAATATCCACAGCAACCCATAAACCATCACAAATTATAAAACTTTTTAAAAACATTTCAAATATACATTACAATTCCATCATCTATAATACCAAAAACTACAAATCAAAATAGTTTCTTTTAGAGAATTTCTCGTGATCAAATAATGCTTACTCCAAAATACGAATTTGACATAGACAAAAAAAAAGTGAGAAGAAAAAAATTTGCTATCATTTAATTAAGAGAAAATGATGAGTTTAATTTTTTTTTTTATCCGTGATTGTTAAGTGTGATTGGAATCGTGTAGACATTTACTTTCATTTGCGTGTTTCAATAAAAGTTTCTTATTTCTACCCTTTGGGGACGTCTAACTTAATAAATTTTGTCATGCTTATAAATTTAGGAAGTATCCCAAAGATTTCTTAAATTACATAAGCTATTTTGAGCAATAAACAATGATCAAGCTACAACCTTTTATCCATAAAAGATATAAAAAGTCAATTTAACTTCCATGGCTATATGGCATGGACAAAAAAAACAATTTGCAGCTATTTAAGCAAGTAAATTAATTAAAATTGAAAGCCTGAATGTTTGCAGCTTGTTTATTAAGATTCACAATAAGTTACAGAACTAATCAATAGAATAAAATGAGCACCTACTATCAAAATGTAAAATAATTTTATGTAAATTTCTAATTTTAATTTCACACAATTTTGCAGGATGAATCATCCTGCGTTTTAAGGCTCTGATATGAAAAAAATTATTTTAAATTATTATTAACATTCATCTCTAAGGCTTTGTTTGATATGTAAAATTAAAGGTCTTATTTTAAGATTCCTAGATCCATTAAACTGATTGAAAGAATAGTGCAAATTAAAATTCGAGAGAATATAAATATAGAATCGAAATGTTGTGAATGAATATTATAATTTAATTAACGATTGTTTTCCATTAGGAAATAAAAAATATGAAAACATTTAAAACATTAAATTCAATATTTAAATTTTTATATTTTTCAGTAAATTCATTTAAGTTTCAGGTTTGCGATATTAATTGGTTTATGAGCCAATCTTGATTTCTATGAAGTTTTATAAGATTCCAAGTCAACAGGTTATTCCTCAAGCAATCTTAAAATACTTACACGTACTTATGAAGTTCGTGAGAATCTTTAAGAATTCTTAATTATTCAGTCATTAGAATCAGTTCATAAAACTGCTAATGATTCTGAAAATCATAAACTTCACGAATCATAACTCAATCATCAACAAAGTTTCAAATTTGAAAATGAACACCAAAAAAACGTGCAGAAACTTTTAAGATTTTCACATCGACACTAGCGCCTCTACATCTGACATCAGAAAAACTCATTGTCAACATAAATAGCTGGATATAAAAAGTATTTAATCCACAAGATTTAAAGTCGATTTTAAATTACTAAACATGAGATTTATAAGCAATAAGTCTTAAGATTTCAATATCTTAAAACTTTTTAATTCACGATTAAATAAAATAAAGTTACAAAAGGAATCATTCAGAGATTGTATCAGACCAATTTTTCATAAAATCATAGTCATTTAAGTCACGATCATCCAAGAGCAAGTCATCGCCTTCATCGTCATCATCCTCGTCATGATATTCAGCCACAGTTGGAAAATCAATTACAGAGTCAATCCAGTCTTTATATGCAGATACTTTTGTGAATATGTCAGGCATTCCTTGGCCACATGGCACGCCCCATGAAACTAGTCCTATTAATGAGCCATCATCTTGAACCAAAGGACCGCCAGAATCACCCATACATGCTGAGATTTGAGCATTAGATTTAGAATTAAAAATTAAATTTGTCATTTTACCTCCACCCTCGACTGTATCAGTTGGAATGGCGCATACATTTGTCTCAAAAATTCTATCCTTATTCTGCTTAGTCATTGCAGCAACACAATGTTCAAAAGTCACTGTCTTCATTTTAATCCACTGCAATGTGTCAGGGATAGTTCCACTACTCGTTCTACCGAACCTATAAGAATATTTTATATTTATTAAGTCAGGTAATTAAACTTATCTTCCTTAATTATTAAGCATAACTTACCCACTAACAAATACTATAGCATCCGGTTTAGGGGGCATTGCCAGCATCTTAACAGGTTTAACAGTCGGTGTAAAGTCAATAAAAGTCTCAGTTTTGATCATCGAAATGTCATTCCTTAGTATCTTTGGCTATAAATAAATGCAAATGCACGATGCAAATGTTGCAGACAGAAAAAATTAATTAAATTTACATCAAAGTCTGGATGCACAGCTATTGATAAAACGGTATGGCGCACTCCTTGATCTTTTGAATAAATTGATGCACCAACAACAATAATGATGCCAGTTGCTTTTCGTTTACTCGTACAATGACCTTTAAAATATTGTTTGGAAATCAGTTATTATTGATATTTGAAATGTTTGAGGTATAGGCTGGAATATTATAATGCTGGATGGGTTTTTGACTAAATTAGAAGTTCATTAGCATTTCATGTAATGAACGAATTCCAAAAACTTGATTCATGATGCTCATAAAGAAGATTCCTTTGTGGAGCTGATTTTATGCTGAATTTGCACTAAATTGAACATTCATTCATCATGCATATACATATGATCAGTATATCCTCTTGCATTCTTACAATTTTGGATTACCTAGCCACATATCCTTAAAAACCTGTTATTAACCTTGAATGAGGAACCTTCTCTTTAACTAGCAGACAGATCATCAAATTGTTTGAAAGCCATTCTATTCCAAGAAAATCAGTTAAGATTTCCACTCACAATCAAGAACAAACACAAGTAATCATTTAGCACTGTAGCCATCCAATATTCTAAAATCCCTAAAAAATAATTTCAAAATTAAACCAACTCACCTGCTGTCCCCAACCATCGCTCAGTCAAAACAAAAGCACCACAAAAATGTTTTTCCATTAAAGTATCACGTAATGATGCCTGATAAGGAAATTGGTAGTCATCATCAGCTGAGTAACCACCAACGATCTTGTGTCTATATACAAAGGTAGCTCCCAAAGCTGATAAGGAACAAATCAAAACATGTTAATTGATAATGAATTATGTTATTGTCGTTAAGTCTCACCTACATTCATGACTTAAATAAACTAAAATTGTCAGGAAATAACAATAGAGCTTAAAAAACTTCATTGTAACAAGAAATAATTACTGCTGGACTCACGAAAATTTTTCAGTTCCTTTATATACCACGGACGTTATCTTATCTTATCAACTGCTACACATGTCTTCCTCCTAACTTTTGTCGAGTCAATTGTTAATTAAATTTTGGGAATCAATAGGAAGAAGTCGCTCTGCGATCATTAAGATTGTGTGCCATTAATAAATTCGAATTAATGAATCGATCATTAGCATTTAAAATATTCAATTTAAGCCAGTGAAGAGGCTCTTAATAAATTCAGAAAATAAATATGAAGAATCAACAGCAAGAAAAGGAAGTGATGAGTAAATCAAAACATCATTAATAATTGCCAATCAATCGAACTCATGTCATACAATAAATTAATAAGAGAACTTACTTTTGTGTCTGTCTGGTCTCTACCGCACCTGATTTAATGATCTTTTAATGCCTTGTAGCAATTGAATAAATAAATGGATGTCGAGAGACGTAGAGATTTAGTTGTTACTACATATTTTGTAAGTATGATATAGAAATCTCATTAGAACTTAGGGAGCGTCTAGGTCAATTACGTTGAACGAGTGACTTAATACAATGAAGTTATGTCGAAGCAGGTGCAATGATTTGCATATACATGCTTGATAGATCTTAGATCAAAGCAGTTAATGAGTGCAACACTTGAAATAGAGGAATTTGGAGAATTTTATAGGAATTCCTTTCGCGGTTGATTATTGGTTTGAGGGGTTTGCTGAAGGATGTAAGTCTCAAAGGCAACTTCATAATAAAATTTTTATTATTGAGCTATAAGCAATAATCAGGGCAATAATTCTAATAAGCTATGCGGCTATCAAATTCTGAACATATTCATGAATTATCAATTTCGTGCACATAAAATGCACAATAAAAACAACAATGAGTTTCCAAACTGACATAAAATCACCGAATTTCACCAGAAATTTATTTTTAAAGTCTCACAATAATTGTTTTTATGAAATTTCCCAACTGACATGTTCTAGAATCTAGATCATATGCCATTTCTATACGTCAATGATCTTTTCGGTGATTGAATTTACGTGCAATATAATATTGTCGTGCAACTGTATCAAGTCAACAGCTTTTATCTCTTAATTTTTGTATATTAATTAAAAAGTTATTTTTTTTTGTGGCTGAATTGGAACTGATTGCACAGTCAATTTTTGTCATCGAATATCAAAACTGTAAACAAGATTCCTGGCAAATTAAGAGACATAAAAATTCTCAATTTACATATCAAAAGCATTAAAACGTCAATATTTTGGCGCTTAAACAAGTCTGTCAGTTTAGTTCCATAACCCAAAAGAAACAATAAAGAGCAGAGCAGAGAGAGGCAAAAATTAACAGTTAATGATTCCGTTAAGCGCTTAAAAATGCATTGGAATTTGAAGGACAAACATGTCGCTCTGCATACAGCCTGTTCAACAAATAAATTCGACAGTTAACAGTCAGTGATTTATTGAAAAGTAATTTATTTCATACAACATCAGATCTGATTGGTGTGATTGATAATAATATCTACAACTTGTCGTCGTGCTGCCAAAGAGGAATTTAAATTGGATTTTGCATGCCTTTAAGATAAAAATTAACTGAGTCAAATGCAAGCATGTACATTGTACATTATTAATTGTACTATTGAACTTGATATTGACTGTGAATGGAAGACATTATTCCGCTTTTCAAGCAAATTCTTTTTTCAAATTGATGAATTTGCTAAGTTCAATAATTCAACTTAGTTGATATAAACTTTAATATCTAGCAATACTTATTTACTTACTTCCTTGGCTGGGGCGCACGTGGGCCCATTGCTGTGCTTAGAGCTCATCTGAAGACCTGCGCTTAGAAACCTTCTGCCAGTTCGGGATATTAAGGACTCCAGCGTACTTTTCAACACATCCAATCCTCGTGATCTCCTGCCATCCATAAAGTCTGCTAGCAATAAATGATTAAAATTTTGATTTTAAAAACCATTAAAAATCTAATGAAATTTTAAATTTTTAAAAGTCGTTAAATTTAAAAAGAAGAAAAAATTTATGGCGTGGTCATTATGCAACAAATCTTGATAAGCTTCAAAAAATTATTTTAGGTCTCTCGACCTCAAACTCCTGAAATTTATTTATTTTTTTCATTATTGTGACAAAATGCTTACCATTCAATTACCTTTTGTAGCCCGATCCAATTAAGATACGCAAGAGAAATCAATTTATCATGTATTTATCGCTGATTTGACTGTAATATTCGCATTTATCACTGGCATTTTATTCGTTATTAATTCAATAATTCGTGCTGCTCAAGAAATTCATAAAGTCATGTAGATCGAGTCATTGGATTTGAATGGAAACATAAATATGAAGAATGATGTTCAAAACAGAATAGAAACACCCATTTCCTCTTAAATCTTCATTCATGAAATTGTTTATTTAATTGTTGAGGTTGGAGCATAGCTACATGATGCACTTTAGGACGATGGGAATTCCTTACAATATTTCCAATGAAATGATCTTCAATTAATATTGTGAATGATATAAAAGAATTCAAAGAACTGTCGACAGATATTTTCAATCAATCTTCTCAGGAGGTAAACACAATAAAAGAGAATCTTCGAGTGCTTGTTGCTGGAAATTCTTTCAAAGATTCTCAAAGGTTAATATGCTTTGATTATTCAGAGGAAAGAAATTATTGGGAATTAAGATTGCATGCTTATTTGCATTAATTGTAATCCTTTGCGCTGTTTTTCTTGAAGGTCACTAAACGAGCGTTGATCTTTAAATATATGACTCTTTCCTATGTGTTTATATCGAGCCACGCTGTTAAAAACATTTACGGTATGCATCAAGCTGCATTAACGACTTGAACATATTGAGCTGAATTTTAACGGTTTTTCAAAATTTTTGAATTCATCACAAAGCCAGAAGTGCTTTAAAAAATAATGTAAAAGGATTTATGCTGCTTACGATGCATTCACATTTCAGCATTAGTTCTAATAAACTGATTAAGATTGTCATAATAAAATTTCTATAAAATAATATTTTCAATTAAATTTATTTTATCAAAGTCAGCATTGAGTTTTTCCATTAATGAAAAAAATTCAGTGGTGTTTAAAGTGTTTAAATAATTTACTGTCGTGAAAATTCAATCAACTTTTTGGTATGCATTATTAAATAAGTTATTCCATAACAGCAAACTTTAGATTTCTTGCATTTGTTCGTCTCTGCATAAAGAACAGGTGATTAATTTTTGGGTTGACTTTATACATTGCTTCATAAAAAAATTGGTGAAAGTCCTCGTGTTATTGTTCGAGGGACTTAAGCGCATTTTTGACGCAGCGATCAGTATTTGATTATTTAATTATTTTGCGTTAATTTGAAGATCAGAAGATCATCAATTTAAGTGTAATTATCAAATAATTACAATGAATGCTTATATACCTCAATCTAAAAATCCCTAAAATGCAGCTACCCTAAAATGTAGATAGTACTGCCAAGATGCAGATGGTGCTGCTAAAGTGCATATGAAATTTATTTTCCCTAAAATGCAGATGAAATGCTGTTGCTTTAAAAAAGGTATAATGCAGATAATTTTTATAGTATAAAGTGCAGATAAGATGCTGCCCAAATGCAGATCGTATAATTTCATTAAAATATATCAATATTCGTTGAATTTTTTTCTTGATGCGTGTTAATGACTTTAAATGATCCATGATAAAATTTAAGGGTAATTATTTTGTCTGATGACATATTTATGTATATATTGGGTCATCTATATATCTTGCAAAAATGTTACATGTCGTTTAACAACAAAACTAGTGTATCGGGTAGAAACTTAATGCGGATATATTCGCACCGTACCATCAAAAGTCTCATGGATAGACTTAGATTTGTTCAGCATAAGTTTGAAGGTATAACTCCTGACGAACCAGCTTTATATCTTCAAACATATGTTGAGCAAAGCTCAGCTGACTTTCTAGCTTTATACCTTCAAAGCGCAGCTCAGCTGAGAATCGCTCAGCATACGTTTGAAGGTATATAGCTAGCGTGTCAATTGAGCTTCTCTCAGCATATGTTTGAAGGTTTAAAACTTAACGAACATTCTTAAAAAGTTTTTTTAAAAAAAATTTTCATCCAAAGTTTAATTTTATAAAAATCACAGTCAACTTTTGTTTTAAAAAATTCGTCAGAAAGCATAGGTTTTTGCTTTTTCTGAAGCAACGGCTGTTCCTACCTTGCCCAAAAACAATACAGCTCTTCTATCAGGGGCGTAGCCAGAAAATTTTTAAGGGGGGGCCCATTTTCGAAAATTAAAAAACTGTTATGTTGTATCCTTAAATCTATATTCATTCTTCATAAGTTTAAATATTTAATTCATTATTCATTCATTAAATTTAATTTTTCGTGCTGATTTTGACATTTCTTTCATCACTTCCTCTACAATAACTGGTTCTTCTCTATAAATACTTAATAAAACAATTATCAGATTTTCGTAGGGGGGGGGGGGGCCCCTATGGCCCCCCCCTGGCTACGCCCCTGTCTTCAATAGAGCAGCACGGATCAAATGTAAAAAACTAGAAGTTTCTACGATGTCTCGTTATTGAGATTTCTTGCTGATTAACTTGCTTGCTTGTTTGCTTGCTTACAGAAAGCGTATTTTGCGAATATTCAGCAATGCAGCAACTAATTTGAAATCTGTTTTTTGCAAATGATGTAAAATTTCAGGCACAAACTTTTCTTCTGTGACCTTTTATAACCAATTTTGCTTCGTTTTCTCACAAAATGCGAAAAACTGATTTTTCAATCTGAACAAAACCAATAGATTTACACGTGAAAACGGTGTGAATATAAAAAATACATTCGCCGATATATCAATGAAAGCTCCCAAAGTTATAACAAAATTTATAAAAATTATTCGTGAGTGACGCTTAATTAATGTGATTCCCCGACATAACTCCTTAACTTTAGGAAGTAAGTTCTATGTCAAAAGAAAGCAATTTTTGTTTTTTTACAACATATAATAACTTTGAAATTTGTCACTATTGTGTAGGGTTTGTGGAAAACAGCTGTTTTTGAAAAACAGTCGGTTTTCGGTTTTTGATATTTGTTTTGTTACGAGGGGGGGGGGGGGGGGGTCTAAGAAGTCATTTTTTCGCGTTACGTAATAAGTGAACAGTCCCTAAGTGTTTCTCTAAGATAATGAAACTTTTTGGTGGTTAAAAGCAGTTAAGCATACATTATAGAGCTAAGCATTATTATTTCTTAATTTTTCGTTAATTAACTCTATAAAATATAATAGAATATAAAAATTCAAAAAAAAACATTTAAACTTTTAAGAAACATTGCATTGTTGCATTGCAGACGTTCCATAAACTCTAATATTTTATTTGAAATATTCAAAAAAATCTTTCTAAACAAAAAAATACCTTGCAAAATTGTTGATTATATTTTTGAACTTTAGTAAATGCTACAAAAGGTTCAACAAATTTCAAATTTCG